AGCAGCAGCAGCAATTGCAGCAGGAGCAGCAGGAGCAGCAGCCACAGCTCATCTTTTGGCGGGCTTAATGCTAGCCTGGCCCTGCCCCACGCGTCCAGCCCAGCGACTTGTCAGCCACTGCAGCTTGATTGAAGCCCGCAAATTAAAATTGCCAATGGCTGGCGGATTCATATACCCTGTAGAAATGGCCGTGAGGGCGGGTAGCTGCACTCTGACTTGCCCAGGTCTCGTTTTTCCCGACGAATGTCTCGTACAGGGCATCAACTAGTCGAGTCTGCCCTCTTACTACAATTTCCGATTGCCTCGATTGCTGGCAGGGTATCCGGCCGTCGAGCAGACTCGTCCAGAGATCACTTTTACTTGATTCTTGCTTATGTTTTTGATGTGGCTCGAATGCAATTCTCACGATTTGGCACAGACGCACACAGAGCCACCTCCTCCTCCACCCTCCACCTCCTCATCCACAATCTCCGCCACATCCACTTCCACATCCACATCCTGATCTCCATCATCTTCAGCGTCATCATGATCATGGTGTAAGCTGCTCATTTGGGCGTTGCAACACACACAAGATTCCCATCCAGGCTGCTCGGCTCGCAATCCGCAAATCGCGTCTCAAGCTGCGAGCTTCCAAGTCCGGTTTGCAGCTGATCAAATTAACCATTTAAATAAAACATTTGTTTTGATTCTCGCTTTAGGGAAATGCAAAGCTCTGCGCTGTGGTCGAGCGGGGGATGGCCATGGGACGGCAAGGAGGGGGACAGCTGGGGCATCTGTGCCTCGTTGATGCCGGTTGACAGGCGTACACACAAATCCTTCTCGTTTTGGTAGCTGCTCAGCTAACTGAGCCTCAGTCTCCATCCCGTCCCAGTCCCAGATTCAGCTCCAGCCCCAGCTGCAGCGCCATTATGATCATACTGGAGTCTTTGGGAACCTTAATGCCAGATTATCACAGCATTTACTCCTACTTAACCCAATGTAGCTGAATCATTAACATGCTCTCTGACCCTCTCGCTCGCTCTCCTCTCTCTCTAACTCAGCTTCGGCAAAGATTACGTATGAATAGTGGAATAATCGTAGTCTTCCCTGCGATACATCTTCTTCAACTACTTTCGACTCTACTCCTTAGACTTTCTTCAGCGTTACTTATTCATTATTATCTTGACAATCCATCTATATATTGATTATATGCTCTCTATATACAATATTCACTTATACAATCTATATAACAGCCTGACCTACCCAAACTATTAAGCCATACCCATTTATCTAAAATATCTCATCCACAGACAGGATATATAGGATACTATATCATATAATATATCATATATTAATGAATCACATGTGTATAGCAAATATTCTAGAGATTCCCCAAGGAAACAGATTGGCATAACTGTACCATAAATTTCAGAACATATTCATTTGGTGAAATATGCTCATACATATAGAATGTATCAATCATTCAGGGGAAATATCTATAACACTTGCTGAATAGATCAACAAATTCTGTAGACTTTATGATATATGTGTATAAAATATTTCTGATTTCAACATGTATTCTCTCTAAGAAATTCCTAATATTTCCGAATTAGACACACGCTCACATGCCATAAAAAATACCCTATAAAAATATGCGTATTGCGTATCGGGAGATAACAAATTGTGTGTTCAAAATGTGATTATGGGATGTTCAGAAAAATTTGCGGCTGGCCATTAAATTAATACAAATTGCATCGAATTCATTAAAACTGGCAAAAAAAACAGAAAACAAGGCCAACAACAAGAAGAAGAACAAGAAGGCGAAGATGATTCCGACTTGGCTAACAAATTGGCCCCCACTGACATTTGGCTGATGAAGATGATGCCAAGGGACAGGCGACAGCTCGAATGGAAAGGAGTCAACGGGAGAGAAGAGGAGGAGGCTGCAGTGGAGGAGGCGGAGGAGCAGGAGGAGGAGCTGAGGTGTCAATGGGGACTGCCGGAATTATCATTTATTAATTGTTCTTTAATTTGTGTGGGAAGCAATTCACTCTCTCTATCTCTCTCTCTCGCTCGCTCGCTCTCTGCCAGTCTATACATACAAAAAAGCACAGCTGAAGGAGAAGAAGCAGATGAAAAATAAAATAATATAAAATTAGCGACCGCAAACAACAACAAATAATAAATTTCGGCATTTTTGTTCTTGTTTTGTGTCATATTAAAATGCAAATGGAATCCAATAAACAACAACTCATTAAAAGCACAACCAACCAACCGGCTGATGACCCGATCCAAAAGAAGAGCTCCGGCCAAATCAAGAATATCATCCATAGACCCAACACCGCGGAGCACAGACCAAAGCGAACATAATTGGCCATAAAAGATCGAACGCCCACCAAAATTAGTCAGGTGGCACAGACAGGTGGAACATAGTGATTATCCAGTTTCTAGATTAGCTTGGAACGACAATCGACAATCGACAGTCGATAGGCGGAAACGAAGTGAAGTATTCCACACAGAATACTGTGAATATATGATATGCGAGATGTTCTATGGGGAATATGGTAAAAGACTTGCATGATATATGATATAGGAGTATACATAGTATACATACTATACATAGTATATATGTAAATACTAAAATATCGTTATAAGTTAATTAAATCCAAGTTGGATTAGCACTTATATAGGAACTGTGTAAGAGACGAACAAAAACTCTTATATCTATCCATAAATTTTAGCATATATATGTATATATAAATATTTTTAGACATTTTGATAGGCCTATTAAAATCTGAGAGTCAAGCCCAAAATATTTAGGGTGTTCTGACTGTGGGAAGTGTATCTTATCTTGAATATTTCATTCTCTCTATATTACAATTCTTGGTTATATAACTGTATAATTCACTGGTTTTTCTCCCTAATTTATTTACATATTCAAAATATATATCGAAAGATTTATCTTTAATTTGGGCTGCTTATTGCAGTAAAATACGCTCGTTATATTAGGTAAATACGTGTTTGACTTATTAAAAACTTGGACTCGATGAACTCGATAAACCTGCAATATGGAATCGATAGAAAAAAATGACATTTGAATGCGATATAAATAAGAAATGGGGACATTTCTTGCTGCGCGATGATATGAAAATCGTGGCTCGTACGAGCATAAATCAAGCGGAATGCAGTGTAAATAAATAATATGTTAGAGTATGTACGAGAGCATGTAAGGGCAGAAGGAACAACAAACGAATGCAATGGCAATGATCCATGAATGATGGACGAACGTGGAGAGTGAACGACTAGCAGATGCCCTGTCAATGAGATGTGATATAGGATTACTTGATAGCTGATTGCATTGAAATCGTAGAAATCAATGCTATATAGAGGGTGACAATGTAATATCTGGTATAGTTGGATAGATCCAACTGGAGACTGAAAGATTGATGTCTATTGAATATAGTAATTTAATATAAGTCCAGTATTATATAGTGGCTCAAGATTGATAGACTGTTAATGTTAGTCTAAAGACTGAAATAAGCCTAGTCAAGTTTCTAGCTGGAACATACAAATCTCTTTAGCTTTTTAAGGGGTATTCCAAGCATGAAACGAATCAATGATTGAATAAACAGTGAAATAATTTAATTTATGAACGGCATTCAATTTAATTTGACTGTTATGTCTGTTGCTTGAGAGCGAAGCTCACACGTGATCCAAATGCTGGATGGCCTGAGCTCGGGGACTGGCCCAGCGCTGAGTCAGGCTCAAAGTGGGCCGCCAGCACGAATGTCTATAAATATATAAATACATTTATATAAGTATATATGTATGCATGTATGCACGTATGTATGTATAGAAATATGTCTTATGGTCATGTTGGCGATCATTTTGCGACAATTGATGCAAAGTTTATTGAATTCCGTTGAGTTTGAGTCTGCGAAAATGTTCTTAATGCGCCATTAAAAATGCGCAACGTGTTCGCCAGGCGAACCCGATTGACTGACAGCTGTACACATACACACATATACACATACATACACAGCTATACCTAGAGGAATTGAAAACCAGGCAACATCCATTGAAATATATATTGAATTGAAATTTATATCGATGGCCGAAATTGGCGCACGTCGTCGAACGCAGCACATCAAAGTAGCGCCCAGGCCCACACGGCGGCGCCTGATTAATATGCAAATGTTAATGTTAGCCCAGTCATGTTATTGGCCATAAGAGTGACTTAACAGATCTACATTACGGCTGTTAAATTGCGACATGAATAGAGTTATTTGAGCATCAGCTAATGCTTTGAAATAGACGCTGCACCACATTGACATTGGCTGTTAAAATTTATTACATGCTATGTTAAGTAGCTGTTAGAGTAGAAAATAATTCACTTAATTACAGAATTGTCAACATACACCTTTTTAGTTGTTATGTTATAGTTTGCTGTTAAAGTTGTAGTGTTATAGCACTGTTAGTAGTTGGTCAACTGTTAACCGACTGTTAACTGTTCAGCTGAAAAGAACCAACAAGTAAAACTCAATTGTGATTTGTTGAAAAAAAAAACTTAATTTTTTTTTATTGACTAAACTCACAAGAAAAGCGAAAAACACAAATAAATAATTTAAAAAAACAAAAAAAAATTCATATACATATATATTTATGCATATATGTATATATAGGTTTATATATATATATTCATAATTCTGCTGTTCTCAACTCTTGTTTACTAAATTGTCTCTTAGCTTAGACTAACTTCCTTTAGCTAATTTTATTTGCCGCCTGGCAAAATGTTTATGCAGAAAAAAAAAAGAACTATAGACTATATATATATATATATAGTTGATATAAGTACTTGGGTTTGTGCGTATTTCTTGCTTTTATTATTTGTATTATATATGATCTATGTAGGTATACATGTATATATATGTATAGGCTCAATTAAATATAGGAAACTCTTTAAGCGGCGTATACTTTTCGAAAGCACCTAAGAACTAAACAACTTAATATTCTATGAAAATATCAAATAGTATTTGGGTTAAAATTTTTTCCAATTATGAGCGTTAGCCCCCATCTAAGCCCTAGCCCCCGTTTAACTACCAACTAAATTGTGTGTACTTGGGCCATCCAGCGATGCGCCTTTTGTGTGTGTGTGTGTGTTCTTTTTTTTAGCTCATTTCCCAACAAAAAACAAAAAAATAATAATCATTATTATTATAGAAATAAACTGAGCATTGAAAGAGAAGTGAAAAACTAAAGAATAATCCAAATATGCACGAAAGAGGGAAATTTCAATGTTACGATCATCTCACAAAGATCTTGGCTAGAGCCCTACAGCTCCTCCAGGCAGCGCACATTGGTGAGCATGATGCGGGTCAGGCGCCAGACCTGCTTCGCAGCATTCTCGAGGGCGCCCGGAGACTTGCCCTTGAAGAGATCCATGTTGGGCAGGAAATAGTGGGGACAGCGACGGCACTGCAGGCAGGATATCAGCTGCAGGAATATCCCATTGATTCGATCGGCAATGCAGTTCTCCTCCCACTCCATTTCCCTTGGATGCTTCTCGCATTCGTAGAGCAGCAACGTTTTCAGATGGTACGACGTTACGGGATTGCCGGGCAGATCCAGATGACGATCACGTAAAGTTTTCAATATGCTAAGGCAGCGACGGCGACTGGCACCTGAAATGTTGAGAAATATCATTGAAATAAGTATAATCAATGAAAATCTATAGAATATTTTAAGTAAGATATCGAACTATGCAGGTAAAGAGAGAGGGAACTAGAGAGAGATAGAGAAAGAGAGAGAGCGAGCTCAAGCTATATAGTGAATATATAATCTAATCTAATTGTTTTTAAGCAGAAATTTATTCTGCCATTCATACGGCTTAAGTTCTAGTCAAAATATTCTTAGCTGTATACGATACATGTATTTGTATATTATTTGTCTTCCACTTTAACACTCACATTAACTTCATGTTACGCTTTAAACTGTTATGTACCATATAGACATAAATATTCTATCTTATATCAATTTCTTTCTTCACCTTTCATATTTAACATGCACTTTATCTGTCTGTCAAATGATATTTTATGGCTGCATCCAAGTTTTCTTTTTAACTTTGTCTCTGTCACATAAAATGTAACAAGCAGTCACGTTTTTGACATTTAGATATAAGTGAGCGTTGCCACCTAGCCATAAATTGAATCGCAGCGCGAAGTAAGTTTGAATTGATAATCGAAATGGTTTTCTATAAATATTGTTTGTACTATTTCATAATACCCCAAGTGTAGATATTGTTTGTCATTGATTATTTCGACCATGCTCATGCCCAATTAGTCATTTGAATGGCACTCAAGTGTCGAAAAAGTGTGAAATGTAGGAAAACATTTTACGAAATTTGATAACTGTGCTGACTAATCGGTTTCGCTCAAAATTTGTCTTTAATTTGCTGATAATTGACACTACTTATATCGTAGGAAAGGCCCCCAAAAACAATCAGTTCACTGGACGGCACCAGGTTCGGGTCTTTGGATATTTTGTGAACCGATTTTGATTGATCAACCCACACAACGGTTCAGACGTCGAACAGCACATAAATCATGGACTTCGAGTGTCAAAATTACTAATCTCAAACGGTGCACGATAATCGTATATTGGGTACGTTGATATGATGTCTAACCATGGGCACTACACGCTAACTGTGACCAAAATAGTATGTTTGCTCCATAGCTGGGCGTACTTGAAATTTTATAGTAGAGTTCCGCTCAAACTTATTATACAAAAACAAATATGTTTATGGCCAATTTGAATTACTCTGGACTCTATTCGAATAGGCAAACACTAACCCAAGGTGAAAGTTATCGATAACCGATAATAGCGAGTTCAATTCACAATCGATTTGATTTCCAAAGATTGGTTGACCACAAGATTAAGTGAACTTCGCCTAGAAAATGAGTGCGAATAGCCCTAACAATGTACGATTATCGATAACAATAACTATTTACAAATAGAGGGAAAAAACAAAGGACGATAACGATAAAAGTTTGCATAAAATTGATATGGAAAACAATCGATGCATAAATAATTCACATTAATTTCTTGTTAAATACGAGAAAAAAAGAACTTTAATTAATGCAAAATAATGAAGCTGATAAGACAAATTTCATTATAGTCGATAACCGACAACAATATAGATATTGCGAAAAAAAATACAACGAAAAATAAGCAAAAATCAGATATGTTCGCACGTATCTATAAGATTAGGAGCAAGCGGTACACGATAACGATATACAATTGAATAATATTGAATACTAATAGATCAGCGCTTCATTAATATACCATAGAAATAATGCGCAGACTGATCAAAGCATGAATAAAACAAAGACGCATCGAATGCGACAATGGAGATCTGATAAGTGTGACAGCGAGCGTAATCGATAGACGATAGGCGATAACGATATTGTAATAGATACAGTCACATTGAGGGGCACGACCGCTGCCTGCCAAAGAAGAAACAAGCAATTATTATGCGACAGCCAGCATTAAATTAAATGTCAAGTCGCTCGACTAGCATCCAAGATACCAAGAGGCGAAGACCCGAACATCGCTGATCGAGTGAGATCGCCGAGAGGGCGCATAAAATCAAATGTGAGGGCTTGAGATTTGATTTCGATTTGGGTCTCTGGCTAAGTTTTTATCTTCTTTCATATTTGATTTCGCTTCTTCTTTTTTAGTTTTGTTTTTGTTTTCGCTTTGTCGTCTCTGGTGGCTTTAAAGGTTTTTTTTTTTTTGTTTTTGTTTTAGCTTTTTATTTGTATTTGTATTTTGTTTGGCTGGCTTCTTGAGACGGGGCCGGCGCACCGTTGTTTTTATTTATTTGTTGACTTTATCTAATCGCCGAGATTTAAAATATTTATAAAATCGTTTAGAAATTTATTTATGGCTCGTTCACTGTTGGCATTTGTTGATATCGAGCCGCAAACCCGTTTCTCTGCCGCCTTATACCGATGCTCATAGCGTCGCCTGCCCGACACATTCAGCCGAACTTCGTTTATCTGACTCAGATCAGCGTGGATTTGTGCGCGTGGAGACATCAGCCGGAAAGGCGGCCAAAGGTGGCTCATCCAATAAATAGTGCTCGGGCCCAGTCCACACACAGATTTATGATCGCTGCCCATCATGGAGGCCATATCTCATTGCTTATCGCGCTTCGATAAACGGATGCGTTTTGCTCCACCGTTCGTAGTCCAACTTAAAGGAAATTGATTGAGAATCGATAAACTGAATTGAAACACAAACTGATCGTCGTCCATTTCGTCTATATTACTAAGTAGCTGGCATTTTTTTTTATAGCTCCATAGATACTTAGAGCCGTGTCTCATGACGATCAATAGTCTCGCACCTAACTAAATCTTTTTAATTGCTGCGATGATTAGATTAGGCAAGTGTTAACCGATCTCTGAGCAGTGAAGCGCCTGTAAAGACTTTAACTACCTTCGTTTATGATCAATTAAGCTACTAACTGGTCTTTAAAAGCAACATCTCTACCACGATCAGCGGAGATATGCACAGACTTCAATCTGATCATGTCAAGGAAAGCCGTTAGACGAGTCCACAAATCTATCGCAAGATGTTCACGTTGATCACGTGAACCGAAGCGAGCTCGGCGATCAGAGCTAATCGAATGCACTTTGATGAGAGTCCAGCTTATCGAGTGGATCTTGTCGCTAGCCGTAGCAGCACTCACATCAACAAACACACACACACACACACACATATATGTACATATGTATATCTTGATAGCCGATTTGATTTACAAGCAATTATATGAAAACTACAGTCGCTGATTTGTTCGAAATAAATCAATTAAATTTAAGTGTGTCGCCGATTGTAAACACATTGACGGGGAGCTACCTAGCTGCTGGTGGGGCTGGGGCTGGTGAGAGAGCAGCCAGGTAGCCAGGCATTTGAAATTTACTATCGGATAACATTTATTGTTACTTTTTTTTTTTTTTTAACTCGGTTTGAGACGTTTTTGTTTGATTGTTTATTATTATTTTTTTTACTTTTGGAAGTCATATTTATATTCCAGTATGTTTGTAAGATAAGAAGAAGAAGAGGAGACTTGGTTGAGAGTTACATTTTTCCTAGTTAAATTCGTTTTATTTTTATGAAACAAAATCAAAAACCGAAATATAATCAACTTCGAGTAAAGCTCAAAGGCAGAAATGGGAATCAGGAAACAATTATTATTGTTTGATAATTGAATCAAATTATTGTTGTAGTTGGGGATCAAGACAAATATAAGTTTTAAATACTTTTGGTACAGCTATTCCATTTATGTTCAGCTCTATAACAATATTATCTGAATAATTTTCAAAATCTATCATTAATCTATTAAAATTCTATATCTGAAGTCTGTAGGCAACTCAATGTATTAGACTATCGTATATGTATGTACTTTAAAAATACTTTATACTTTTACTGACAATGTTATTAATAATATAAGATTTTCTATATGAGATTTTTTTCTACATATGAACTATTTCATTATGCGATATAAAAAATATATACATTTACTAATAATGTTATCTATAAGATATGAAAACCATACTTTTAAAACTAATAACCCTCCAATACTTACTCCCATATGTATATGTGAACTACTTCAAGTATCTATGCATGTGATAACTGAACGTGTTGCCATTTATAGTATATAAAGCTATACATAATACTACACTATAGACTTCACAGAACACATTGAAATACCCATATATATATACATGGGTTTACCTATCGGACTATATTCTAATTTGTATCCATTGCGCATATTAGATCTCCCTTATAACGAGTGAAATGCTTATACACATGGTACATATATATATATAATATATGTATTATATGTAGTAATCCATTGACTAATGAAACTCCCATGCCAAGCATCTTTGCTGTCTAGGTAAGCTTTCAATGTGCTTTACATGCCGACGGCAATTCGATTTCGTTTGTATTCCTCGAGCACTCACCTTGCAATAGCCGATTCTCGGCGTCCGTAAAGCTGAGCACCCAGGCATCGCCCTCCATGGCGGAGTTCTTGCCCTGGAGTGCGATGCACTCCTTGGAAAGCATATCGAAGCCCTCAGTCTTAACCTCTGCTACAATGTTGGGATGCGGCCAGGGTATGCCGGGCAGCGGCCAGTGCGACGCCGATCGCGGCCAGAGGCCGGCGCACTTGAAGGCGGGCGTAATTTGGACAATGATCCGCTCCCTGATCCGCAGCTTCACCTCGGTGGTGTCGGCGATCATTTTGACAATGTCGCGATAGGCGCACTTATCGCACGCCTGCGCCACCAGCGTCTGGAATCTGGAGCGTATCTTGCGCGCCGACAGATAGCCGGACGCTGTGATGAACTCCACCCACAGCGACATGGAGCGTTTGCGTCCGTCGCTCAGCTTCAGCACCGCACAGCCGGGCAGAGTGCCGTCGTCCACAAAGTTGAGGACGCCCATCTGGTTGAGGTAGATGATGATTTCGAACTCTGTGGGTGAGATCACTTCCAGGCCCTCGAATCGGCCGTTGTAGTCGTTCAGCGATGAGATGAAGCGCGGCTCCTGCACCTCCACCTCCTTGAGGACGTCCTGGACGATGCGGCATACCTCCTGGATCTGCTTGTGTATCTGCGCCTTGCGCACCTGCACCCGATCCGCGCAATATTTGTTCATTTGATAAACCATCTTGGACTGTGCCGCGATCATGTCCGACGGCACCAGCATTATTGACCCGGGCGACGACGTCGTGATGCTTACTCTTAACTCTCACTGGATATATATGCACGAGTATATATCCGCATATATATGTATGATCCGTATGAGTATTTGTATTAGGAACTGTTGTTTAGAGATATCTTAGCCTGTTTGAGAACAGTTTTAGCATGGCTTTAGCATTTGCTGTTAATTCACTTATCGCTTATCCAATTTGTTTGATTCTCTTAGGCACAGCACACAAAAAAATTGATAACAAAATGCAATTGTTTGGATGTGTGGAACGTTGCGAACGCTGGCGGCGGCGTTTCGTTACTGTCGCGTTTTCACCACAATTCAAGTCACTGTTTTGCATTGAGTTTCGCACGCGTCGCAGTCGCAGTCGCAGTCACGGTCGCAGTCACAGTCACAGTCGCACTCAACTCGTGTCGCGTGTACTCGCGCCATCAACTCCAAGACATTGACTGATTTCGTATGGCGTGCACGCCGCAAGAAAAGTATCTTTGGCAGCCACAGCAGTCGCAGTCGCGGTCGCGGCCGCAGTCGCCGTCGCAGCGCTGCCCAGTCTCCATCTCATCGAACTCCCCAATGAGTAGCAGCACTGGTAGCAGCAGCAGCAGCGAGTGCGAGTGCGAGTGCGAGCGAAACAGCGATAGCCCTGGCATATCCCGTTTGGCTTTTGCCTACCACACTCCATCTCGCTCTGGCGCGCTCTCTCACTCTCTAACCACACCTGAAGCAGCGAGAGCATGCGTAATGGCTGAGCAACAGCTCTGTCGGCGCGAGCCAGTGTGTGTGTGCTTGCGTGTATGTGGGTGTGAGTACGATTGCTTTTGTGCTGGTTTCTTGTGTTTGTTTAATGCTCTTTTGATTGTTTGTTTGTTTAATAAAACGCTATAATGGCGACCACACTGCATTGGGAGCGCGAGAGCGAGCTGCCGAGAGAGCGCCTGACTGTTAGCTTTAGCTTATGAACTTCTGCAATTCTACTTTCACTCTTTGCAGCCACAACCACCCCGTAAATGCATTCCCTTCTATAACCCATCAGTTCCATTTGTTTCTGTTGCTTCCGCCGTCGCAGTCGTCGCCGGCGTTTAGCTCCGCCTCTTTTTTGCGCTCACACAAGCACATAGAGAGTGGCAGAGCGAGAGAGCAAGCGCAAGAGAGAGGCAGCCGGCATATGCGGCGCTCACACAGATAAGCACCAATACACAGAGCCCAGCGTTGTTGTTATTGTCCACACTTGGGGTTGGCCTGTGGGTGTAGTTCTTTTCTCACTCCCTCTCTCTTGTTCTTTCGTTGCTCTTCATTCTTTGTGGACCGCGCGCATTGCAGGCAGGCATTGTAAAAGTAGTTGTTGACTGCTATTCGCATTACAGTTAAATAAATAACATAAACAGCGCTCCAACAGTGGCCATTAACATGCGTGATTTATGTTAAGCTGTCTGCGCGCGAATCTCGCAGCGTAAATACAAAAGCAAATTCTCTTAGCATAGTGAACATATCAAATGAGCTGCAACTGTAATTATACTAGTTACACTCTGATGTTAAAGAACAATTCTTAGGAAACTAATTGCGCTGTTATTTATAACTTGTTATTGCCAGCTTAGAAAGTGACGAGGAAGTTATTCAAGTTTAGTTGGCATAGATTATGTTACTTGATATTATATTTATATCTACAATATACTTATGTATATGTATGTGTGTATGTGTGCGTATATACATAGTGTATTATATATGATAATTATTAAACAATACATTTCTTTAATGCAATTAACATTGCTTACACAGAAAGAGGATTTCACAATTTTTTAACACAATTTCCTTTGATTCTTCTTATTAAAAAACTGACATAACATTGTATAGTAAAAGTCTTTGTATAGTTAATTGTGTTACTAAATCTCTTAATTTGTTATATGGGTACATATAGTGAATTACATATACATAATAATAATATATAATATTAATAATAATCATATACAATATGTTATATTTTTAGTTTATTACCAAATCTTTCAAATTTTTAAATCGTAATGCTCTAAGTATTATATAAATCTATTAGTGTGCTTTTGCTGCAATTGTATATAGAAATATTTAAGGGTGCTAGTTACCCCTTTGACTTATATACTTTAAGCTTAGAAATAAAAAATATGTAGAGTTTAGTATAAATGTGGTCAAAATCGATGCCATGCTGCATAGCCAAGATATCCTCTCAAGTTCCGTATAACTTCTTTATATATAACATAATTTTCTTTTTTTTTCGTATGCCCATTAATGCACATCTAATGTGATTAATGGACGCTTAACACGAGCTGCCAGTCAGAGAGTGGGCGTAGAGAGAGAGAGAGAGAGAGAGAGCGAGAGAGAGGGGCGAGGAAGGCAGGCGGGCAGAGCGACAGAGGGGGAGCGCAGGGGTTTGGCTAGCTGGTGTCATATCTAGCTTTTAATGCGCAGAGTCTGGCAACATTAAGTTCCACTTTAAGAGAGTGGCAAACAAATTATTATGTATAATTCAGTTAAGAACTGTGTGCCGGAACCTGCATTAAGATAAAGCTAATTAACACCTCAGACCCGACTCGGTGCCGGAGCACCCTAAGTTGGCTCTAGACTACGCTTGCCACATGCGTCTATCATTTTTCTTTGCCCTGACGATAAGCGGCGACTTGGCAGGAGACGGAGGATGGGGGCAGGAGTCGGTCGGTGTCGGAGCTGGAGCTGGAGCTGAAAATGGAAATGAGCCGTTGGCTGATAATGTGCAAGAGAAATGCGCTGGGAATCGCTTTAATGGCCGCGTAAATGTGGAAAATTATCAAAGGGACACGAACTTAATTGCGTCCATTATCGGCCTTTATGGCATATAAATTGGAAATGAATTATGCAGCCAGACACAAAAGATCTTCATTAGGCCAGGCCTGCAACTTCTGCTCGTTGTCTTCGTCTTCCTCTCTCAAGGTCGTCGCGCTCCAAACTCTATCTCTCGGATAAGATAAAGCAGCCATTGATGCTGGGCGATTTATGCGAGTCACGCAGCCCTCTCCCGATCCCATTGACCGGATCATTGGCCGCTAAGTGGAGGCTGCACGGTAGTCGTTGCGTTTAATTAAATTGTGTATGTTGTATGCCAGTGTGTGCATGAGTGTGTGTGTGTGTGTGTGTGTTACCCCTGGTTGATGGGACGACTTCATTCGCGGCAGTTGCTGCTTATCAGCAGCAGAAGATCTGCAATGATGAGCTCCTGCTCCTGCTGCTGCTGCTGCTCCTGCGCCGTGGCACATACGCTTTATGGTTCTGGCCAGGCCAAAATGAGCAAATGGCGGAAAATTAAGCAAGCGACATAGCGGGAGCGAGACACACAAAGCGAGAGACAGAGACACACAGACAGAGAGAGATTGCAATCGCAACAGCAACAGCAGCAGCTGCAACATGTCCACAACAACAAGCTGCTGCCGGTGCTTCTGCTCCTGCTCCTGCTGCTCCTGCTCCTGCTCTCGCTCCTCTCTCTTTAGCAGCTAAGTTCAGCTCTTGTTATACTCGCTCACTAACTGAATGAAAAGGGTTTTATTAGTTTCAGGCAATTTTTGATTTCTTGTCAAATCGAAAATCCTTCCCATAGAGTTTCTAGTAAAAAAACCTCAAAATTTGACAAGAGCTTTAACGTCGACTTCTGCTGCAGATCTACCAAGGCGTATCTCGAGGCATTAGATTTGCAGCTGAGCCACTCTCGGGCTAACCCTATGTGAAGAGGTATTACGCAGTCGTTGACATCCTACTCGTTTCTTCTTCTTCTTCTTCGATTGGACTTCTTTGTGTTGACACTTGCAACGTGGACATGTTCATTTGTGTTTTAGTTAAACGAATTATTTACTTAACTGCTTAATATCTGATAACTTCTCCTGATTTTGTAGATCTCCAAGTCGAGGAAAGATAAGCAAAAGAGACTAAATAGACCCAAAGCTTAGCCAAAGTTAAATTATGATACAGAACTATTAAAAATATAAACAGAAAAAGTCAGCTTGCTCCAGTGGGGAGTAGCCGACTAGCAGATACCCCTCCACTGCTTTTCTCCATCCCAGGGGAAGGAGTGGCGTTAGGAATTTACTTCATAGCAGGAGTACTCATCATTTTTCGATATCTGAATAAAATCTCAATACCAAATTTACTTCACTCATAAATTGACAAGCTGAGCTCACATAACTAAAGTTTGATATGGGCTTCTATTCGATATTGTAGACAGAGATCAAATGCATCGATTATTGGAATGAAATTTAATATGCGCGTGCTATTGATGGGCCAGCGTGTAAAAGTCTCAAGTCTCTAGCTAACATAATTTAGCAGATCGAAAAAGACATGTAGGCAGACGCACGAACGAGCGGACGGACACTACAGGTGGACAGACTGGCGCATGTATGAACTAACGGAAAGGCGAATGAATGAACGGACGAAGGACTAGACTGGCGGATTGGTTGACGGACAGGATTGGTTGAGAGACACACGGCAGTCTGTGGTACGATCGGATAGACCACAGGTGGACAGGCTGGCGGATGATCGAATAGACGGACCAACGGATAAACGGCAGAGCGAGCTGACGGATAGGATAGACGGACAGACAGACTGTCGGAAGATCAGACAGAGAAGATTAACTAAAGCTCAGCTGTAGGTCTTGTCAATCTTAGCACTAGGATAGCAGACTTGAAGGATTTCGTAGAGCTACAAAGGATGTTAACCAATTGGCTAACTGAAGGTCACTCCAATTGCCATTGCTACCTCTCTGCCCTTCCCTCTTTCTCCGTCTATCCATATGCTATCTATACCCTACATGTATCTATCTATAACCTCTCTATATATATCCTCTTAGACTTGCTCTCAGCTCTAATCTCCACTTGGGGCACTCAACAAGGTAGAAATTCAATGGAATCGCATGCTGCACATGGGAAGAGATGAAGCCGAAGAAGACGAAGACGACGATTGAACTTGAACAGAAGCGAACCTTAATTAGGGCAGCGCTCGAAATGCCACCTAAAATCCGACTTATTGACAATATCGCATCGGCTGGAGTTGGTGCTCTCAATGTCAGTAGATGGTGAACCCATTTCAAAGGCACACACACACGCACACAGACAGACAGAGAGAAAGAGAGAGAGAGAGAGACAGACACTCGTACGATCATCGATCATTTTCCAATTGAGCTGGCCGAGCTCTGATAATCTGCCGAGCTGCCAGCACGCATTGCGTTTCATTGTGCAGTCGAGTTTGTCATTCGATATGATGGCAACGCTGACAGCAGCAGCCCAGCAACAGATGAAGATCAAGATTGTGAACGAGCTGAGCTCAGCTGAGATGAGATGCAGGAGAGGGGGGCAGCAGGGCAGCAGGAGGGGAGGGCGAGGCGACACGAGCTGAGCAAGCTGGCGCTCTGGCCAAAGAGGCCAAACAGCTGGCGACATTTGACCTGAACGCTGTACGTTGGCCGCATTGAGCGCGCTGCCGCCCGCCTCGGCTGTGGCATGTGCAAAGGTCAGCCGGTTGCAGAGGCAGAGCGACAGGCAGTCGAGGGCATTGGCATTAGCATTTACCTGTCTGCCCTGTCTGCTGGCCAAGTGGCGCCTGCATCCCGTCGCGCGTTGTCTGCATATGCGGAATATGCGTGAGCGTGGGGCATGCAACAACAACAACAACGACAACAGCAACAACAACGGCAACAAGAGTCACAGCATCTTTTTGGACATGTTCAGACATTCAAATCAGTGCCAGGTTTCAGCTGAGAATTATCCACAGTTGCGGAGCAGCTCCCCATCCCACCAACTGTGGGGCACACACACACACAAACACACACATATGTGTCTGTGTGTGCAACGACATGCGGTTAAATATGCTTAAGTTTTTCCGCGGACAACTTGAAATTAAGTAGATGCCACAGCAAGCAGTTGCAACAGTTGCCGTGGCTGTTGCTGTTGCTGCTGGCCTGCCTCCAGTTGGGGCACCCATGCAGTTACCTTAATTTATATATTGTTTGGCTCTGTGCAAATATCAACGCGCCTCATCCTCATCCTCAGCCGCATCGACTCGTTCCTGCTGCTGCTGCTGCTTGGCATGTAGTTAATGCAGCTCCTTAGCCATTATCCATTCATTATGACCATTAGGCTTTGTATCACTGCCTGTCTCGCTCTCTCTCTCTCTCTCTCTCTCTCTCTCTCTCTCGTTGGCTGCCTCTCTTTCCATGCCATTTGATTAATTCGCCTTTAGGCCACATGACATCAATTGAAACCACTTGGGATTCTTTAGCGTGTCATCGGCCACAATTACCCGGCGTTGCGCGGCAGAGGAGATAAGCCAAATATCGATACAGGTTAAGAGACCAAAAATGGTAAATAATATAATTTCCAGGTAAATTTTAGCTATATTTTAAGCTATAGGTCTATATCATATGATTTTATCTTAAGGAAAGCAAATTGGAATTCAAATGGCCTACTTTTATCAATACATGTTATCGATTAATCATAGAGCTGTCGCTTTGGATATACATATGTGGAATATACGTAATTACCAGGTATACTTTAGCTATATAAGTCTATATCATATGATTTAATCTTATGGTAAGCAAATAGGAATTCAAGTGGACTACTTTTATCGATACATGTTATCGATCAATGATATGTGGAATATACGTAATCACCTGGTAAATTTTAGCTATATAAGTCTATATTATATGATATCTTATGGAAAGCAAATTGGAATTCAAATGGCCTACTTTTATCGATACATGTTATCGATAAATCATAGAGCTGTCGCTTTGGATATGCACATGTGGAATATACGTAGTCACCAGGTAAATTTTAGCTATATAAGTCTATAACATATGATATTATTTTATAGAAAGCAAATATGAATTCTAATGATCTACTTTTATCGATACATGTTATCGGTCAATCATTTGTGGAATATACGTAATTACCAGGTAAAATTTAGCTATGTAAGTCTATATTATATGATATCTTATGGAAAGCGAATAGGAATTCAAATGGCCCACTTTTATCGATACATGTTATCGATTAATCATAGAGCTGTCGCTTTGGATATACACATGTGGAATATACGTAGTCACCCGGTAAATTTTAGCTATATAAGTCTATAACATATGATTTTATCTTAGAGAAAGCAAATATGAATTCTAATGGCCTACTTTTATCGATACAGGCTATCGATAAATATAGCTGTAGCTATAGCTGTCGCTCTAGAGTAGCATTACCCTCACTAGGTACAGCTCTTTAGAGGTTTTTGCAATGGTAATTAGCAGCTTAAGTGGAGCTTGACTCTACCCAAATAGTATATGAGAGAGGTAGCCCCTCTCTACCTCTCCCCATCGCCCTCTCCACATCAGAGTCTCTTTTGGCTTATCTCATCCTGTATTTAAATTATGGCAGAGAAATCGACGACAGCCTCCGCAAAGCTGTGGCTTATTAATGCAATGCCTCTACCCCGACCGTTCTCTCCGCACCCCTCCAGCGCCATTCAATTTGGAATGAATCGTGTGATAATTTAGCTCGAGGATCGTGCGACATGGCATGGATGAGCCATTAGCCATTAGCTGCTTGTTAAGGCGCCACAACAGAACAGGGAACAGAGTAAGGGAGAGACAAAGAGAGAGAGAGAGAGAGAGAGAGAGTGAAAGACATTGTCATTAAGCTGGAAGCTGGCCATAAACATGAATATGCTATTATGGCCAGCTCTTGAAGCACTTTGGGCGTTATCCTCGCTGATTAAAAGGAGCTCCAAGTATTTGTTTATTCAATTAAAAGACGTCGTCTGCTCCACTCCTCTCGCATATCCATCAAGATGAGATGCCAAACGGCATGACAGAGAGAGAGAGAGAGAGACAGGGAGAGCGAGCGGAATGCCCAGCCATAATCTCAATGCCAGATCGGAGATTTCCCAACATAAACCCAACGAATTTATGACTATAAAAACATGTCTCCGCTCGTATTCTAAAAGTGTTTATTTTGATGGCCACCGCAGTCGGGGCGCTAATTAGGATGTGCTGCAAGCCCCCACTCCACACTCCACTCCCGACGCCACTGCAGTCTCTAAGTCCGCATCGCAAGTCGCGGCCAAGTCGCGTCGTATCATTAAAATCAAAATCAAAATCAAAATCATGCAAACGTTTAACAGCGCTACAAAACTTGTCGCAGATCTCCATAGGCGATTAAGCAGCGTTGGTCGGGGGGGTGCGGGCGGTGTCGAGGGTGTGGCTTGGGGTCTGGTCGCTCTATTGGGTCGTAAAAACGCGCCGTTACAAGCAGTTGGCACTTGGCAGTTGGCAGTTGGCCCATAAACTTTATAAACTGATTGCCCGGTTTCAGTGTTGCACTGCGAAAGCTGACTCGGGATACCCTGTTTAAGGCCAGACAGCAGAGTGGGCATGCTCAAATGCTCAAATGAAGGAAATGCCCTCTATAAAGTGATTGACTTTGGTTTGTTCTCAATTCGATTCGTTAGGAATTCAGTATATCAAGTCAATAGTTCAGTTAGTTGTATATATGTGTAGCCTATGTATATATGTATATGCATATGTCTGTCTGTAATCTGTATTTTCCACATAGCTATAAGCTAAGTCTGCATATGTTGCCTTCCTGCTTCAGTCTGCCTAAAGTTTTTCTCCTTTTCGCTCTCCCTCTCTCTCTCTCTCTCTCTCTCTCTCTCTCTCTCTTGCTCGTTGTCTTGTCGCTGTTTCCAGAAATGGCTCACAATTTGTAATTGAATGCATGTAAATTGATTTCGACTGCCAACAGTCGTAATATCAAAGATTTTATGCACCTACGAGATGTGAGATCTGAGAAACCACACGAACTGTCAAACGAAAAAGCAGCCAACAACAACAACATGAACTGGCCCAAGACAAACTGTTCAGGCTCGAGGAGTGATGCGTTATGTGCTAAATATTATCGCCAAGTACACTTTAGGCCATTAGCAGGCCATTTAGGCGACGGCTAGCCGGTCCTCAATGCCGACTTCAGCTCCGAATGAGATAATTTTGTGAGAGCTGCTCGGGCAGCTATCTTGAATTATGTCAGTTTTGTAATTTTATGCGAATCTTGTTAAATGTGCGGCAGATCCGCCCAACCCCTCTCATCTACCCTCACTTTGCCTGAAACACGCACGCAACGAAAGACTTAGGCAACGAACTCGCGACAGACAGCTGCATGCAACGCCGTGTGGCGCAAATGGCCATGAAATTGAGCATTGCAACAACAACAACACGAACTGTCAACTCTTTAACAGAGCCAAAAACAAAGTCTAAATATTATCCCTAAATTTAGTTCATATCTGAAGTGCTCTGGCAGGCAAGAGTGATTCTATTTTCGATAACTCTATTTCAGTCGGGCCATCCATTTATTGATCCCATTTTGCTATTGGCATATCGTATAATGCTTGCCATTTTATTGAGTTTTGACTAGTTCTAGAGAGTACTTTAGTTAGTTGGGCAAGGTCAGAGACTTCTCTTCAAGCATCGTTGCGATAGTCTGCAGTCCTCTCCTTTAACTTCTTCTTCTGCTTCTGCTATCCACCTTTTATAATCCATCGATTGCATCTATGGCATGCGGTGCCTTAGCCCATCTTATGTAGGTAGTACCACTATTAGGTGCTTTCGAATTTTAATGATCTGATGATTAGTGAATTCAATATAAAGTCTTTAAAATCTATAATATAATGACACATGCACATATATCTCTCTATATCTCAATATATGTATGTATGTGCATGCCATTCCAAATTGATATTGAAAAGAAATCAATTTAACTCTGTTTTATCGTTTTTTAATAGGCATGAAGCGGGTCATATTGAAATATCACTGAGCACGTGTAACAGGAACAATGTATACCATATCAATAAGTCTTGATATAAGAATTAAGAGACAACATAACTTTGCTTATAAGACTATCTATGCATTAGCCATGCCCATATCAAATAAAACTGAGTTTATATAGGCTATATCTATATCTATATACCTCTATACCTCTAAGCAGCCGCCTATGTGAACTCAGTTATATAACTAGCTATGCCCATCAGATTCGCATATAGCTATTAGGACATATATAGAATATATAGAAAATAGGAAATACATCACTCTCTATCTTAAACTACATTCTCAGAGCATTACGCCTTCGTTCTGATCAGGTTTATCGGAGTAATTTTGAGCTCACTTGAGTTTTCGCTTTTGTGTTTTTGGCGCCGTCTTCAAAATCGCATAAATTGCGGTTATTAACGCGCGCTTAGGCCACAACTCATGTCAAAATGTATCAATGGGCTCCATATGGGGAATATTTATATTTCTGAGCGGCTTTCGGCGCGCGCGCTCTACAGACCGCAGAGGAGAAAAACCAATAAAGGCCCAGCAGCTGCAGGCGCAGCGGCCCGATATCGGGGCCTCATGCATAGGATAAATTATTTCGGGACAAGCAAAATATCACTTCGATTAATTCAAACAAAGGCGAATGCAAAGCTGACTCTTGCAGCTCCAGCTCCAACTCCAACGCCATCTCCGGCTGCGACTGCGACTCGTTGCTGGACTCGGCGCATTGCCGCGCCCAATGCAAATAGAGTTGGCATTATCGAGACGCAGGGGAATTAAAAAAAAAAAAAAAACACTACTCAAACAAGAGAGGGAGAGAGAGGGGGAAAAGCAACCCGGGCCTTACGGCCAGAAAAGGATAAAACAGGGGGAAAAAACACACACACAAAAGAAGAGGAAGAGCGTGACTCGGTTCGTACGACTTGTTTATTTGGTATTGAGCTTAATTTGGACATGATAAGTTGCCTGGACGGCGTTGCCGGCAACGGTCGGCTCTGCCTTTCAAGTCTCTCTCTCGGTCTTTACAATCCAATTGATGTTTTACTCCACGCGTCCGACCCGAAGTGCCGAGCGAGATGCCACTATGCTGATCATGCCGATCGCAATGATCTCTGCTCTGCTCTGCTCTGCACCGAGATCACTTGCTAAACCGAATACGCCCCTAACTAGTTGCAGTTAGTTTGGATATCAAACATTGCGCATGATCACTGATCGCTGCTGTTCAATTTGAGCTCTGCTTAGTTATGATCGCAGTTTGTCGGGAAGCAGTACTTGGAGGCATATTGGCCATCTCATTATCGCAACGATCGTAGTGATCTTTGCCGTAGTGCCGCACTGATCTGATGAGAATGTTTGCTTTCACCCAATATACTCTCGCCTCACCAAGTTATAGTAGTAATAGCTAGTGTTATTTACAAAGTTACAGGAGCTTAAAGAAACGGAATCGAAGCCAGAACAAAACTATTACCAAACAAATTTCCATAATACTACAATTTTAGCTCTCTGGAAATAATTTGTACTTCGACTATCGACAAAGAACAGTATTTTTTAGCTAAAAAAAAGTAAAAAAATTAAAGCAAAAATAAATTGTATAGAATAGGCAATAGAGGGAAATATGAATCTCTATCTGATCTCTATTTGATTTTGATCTCGATTTCAATGAAATCTAAGCTTAAAACTTTCTCGAAGCTCCAAGAGTTTACAGACTTGATCAGCGTTTGAAAATGTCATCTCTAGATCCTTTGATAATAATTGAAATACGAAAATACTCTCGACTACAGTGAGAAGAAGAAGTGCACGCACACATACTCACACAATTTTAAATATATATACTTGAATATGATGAACGATCGTGGATCGCATGGAGCGCCTCTTCACAGCAAAAGTGTCTTAAACTGCGTAACCGAAACACATGAAGGAAAAAAATCACAAAAAAAAGAGAGAAAAGAGAGGGAGAGAGAGAGAGAAAAACAAAGCAATTTAGAGCAATTTCGATTAAAATCAATATTTACAAGTCACGAGCGCCATGGACGAGGCCTCTTGACAAAGCCTGGGTGGCTCACGCACCTAGGCGAGCGAGCGGGTCTTGCGGGCCAAGGGGGGTGGCGCAGGGTGGGGCGAACGAGGCCAAAATTACGAATTTAAACATGAAAAGTTATAAATAATGTGACGATGACGGAGACGGAGACAACATTCACACACACACACACACACACGCGCGCGTACACACAGACGAGTACGGGGCGTGCTCGCCTTGCAGATACTCTGTAATATAATATATATTACAAGTGTTGCAGTGTTGCATTCACAGTTATCTAATTTAGTTGCTATCGATCGATAAATGAAATCGATTTTCCGTGTTGGTTTCCTTTTCTTCCTTCTCTAATAAATAGCGTTAAGAGCACTCAAATCAGCTCAGTTTTGTACAGGGTATGCGTCGGGTATGCGTCGCAAAGAGAACGAGAGCGCTGACAACGGCCGAGTTTGTGCTCAGAGTCTTTCGTGCTGCGATCCGAAATAAACAAGGCGGTTGCCCCAAGGCGGCTGACGTTCGACGTTCCACATTGGGAAGCAGACAGCGGCTCGGGGGGCAGGGGGGGGGGCGCGACCAGGGTTAGCTCGGCTGCAACGTCAGTCGCTGCTTTGTCCTAAAGAGCCGTTGATGCGTTCCGGGGCCAAGCAAACTCAGCCAAGCAGCCTGCCCGACTGTTGATGTTGGCTGGTTAGCTGCTTGGCTGCTTGGCTGACTGGTTAACTGGCTT